AGGCATCTGTGTCTGTCATATCCACGTGAACAGGAGCGTCCGGTAGGATGAACTCCTCGTCAACGTTTGTCTTACAAGTGAAATACGCTTGAATACCGGTGTTTCAACGCACATTGGTAATAGAATTTGACGTCTGTCAAATTCCTTCACACCTCCAAGGTGATTTGGATAGCGACACCTATCCACAAGACATCAAGCATGACGAGCAAGGTCGAGCGAGCTGCGACCTCCCGTGCGTCTAGCACTTTGGACGCTACTCTCGACAAAACGAGAGCAGCAGCTGCATCTAAGTGCCTGAGCTGCAGCAGAAATGTCACTTCTCGGTCTAAAGCGCTGCAGTGCGGTCTGTGCGAAGGATGGGCCCACACAACGTGCAGCGGCATTGAGCACGATCTTTATGAATGCCTGAAAAGAACGGCATCTTCTGCGCTAACATTCCACTGTGACAAATGCCGACTTATTGTTAACGATAAGTCCCTTCTGGCGAATCTGACTTTGGCGAAAAAGACAGATAATAACGCCGCATTGGTGACGCCCGTACTACCGCCGGTGACTCCTCCATGCATCCATACTGTGCGCAATCGAAGCCGCTCCTCCTCCGCTTCATCAGCGGACACACCAATGCATAGTTCACAAGACAACCGAAAAAAGCCGTCTGTCGGCACTCCAACTGCAACTGCGACCTACGCAGCCGTGGCCAGCGCTGGCGCCGCAAAACCACCCGGCTGGGTCCAGGCCCCTAAAAAGAAAAGTTGTAAGGCGGTAAACAACAACAAATCGAAATCACCGTCTACAGTGTCACAACTAAAGTCTGTGCTAAACAAGGTAACACGACTTGAGAAATTGCTAGCCGAGAAACCGGCCTTACCGAAACCGGTGAAGCCAAGCGATAGCAAGTCACCACGGGGACGGCTATGCAACGTCATGATTTTCCACGCACCTGAGTCGACTGATCCCAGTCCCCAGGTACGCTATGACCATGATGTGCAATTCTTGCAGTCTCTAACCGACAAACTACTGGATGTTGGCGAACCCGGGTTACGAGTGAAACAAGTCACTCGTCTGGGGAAACAAGTTGATGGCAAGTGTCGGCCTCTGCGCATCGCGTTCGCCGACGAAACTGCCCCAAGGTTAGTACTGTCCCGCCTCGGTCGCCTAAAGGGGATGAAAATCCATGTCCGGCCAGACCTTGATCCCGCAGAACGAGAGCAGCTGAAGTCTGCCGTGGTCGAACTGAAACGACGCACGGACGCCGGTGAAACTAACCTGCGTATCGTAAATTTTCGTACAGTTGCCCGGATACCCCGAATCCGGGTAAACAGAGCAATGACGCTTCAAGCTCGCCCAGCGGTTCCTACCGCGGATTGCGTGTAGCGTTCATTAATGTATGCAGCTTAATGAACAAGCACGATGATCTGATCCGCTTCATTGCTTCACGTCGGCCAGATGTGGTTGGTTTGGCTGAGACGTGGTTGACATCTGAAGTGACAAGCGAAGAAATTGCGATCACGGACTATTCGTGCTTCCGCTGTGATCGACAGTCGAATAGCCGCGGTGGCGTCCTACTTTACCTCCGGTCTACCCTGTGCGGGAGACTCGTGAGCACCTACCGAAGCATTGACGGTCTATGTGAGCAGCTGTGGTGTTCGATCCACCTACGACGCGGCGAACTGCTTGTGGGTGTGGCATATCGTAGCCCACTGAGTAACGGATTGGATTGGCTCACACACGTCCAAAACCAAATGAGTCGCCCACAGTTCCTGCTCACTGGCGACTTTAACCTTCCTCGAATCTTATGGCCTGAAGTTCAGCTTCTCCCTGGCCATAATGAAGTGGAGACAAGATTCGCCGAACTGGTACTGGAAACCGGAGCGGTGCAGCACATCACGCAACCCACCCGCATAACCCCGCGCTCAATGCCATCATGCCTGGACCTGCTGCTAACCAGCTGCGAACAAACAGTGCATGACATAGAAGTTCTTGAGCCCATGGCAGCCAGTGATCACTCGACAATTATGGCCACTATAGACCTGCAGCTTCCATGTGTGCGTCCAGTGGCGCCAACGTACAACTATTGGAAAGCTGACTTCGATGGCCTCCTTCTAGCTGCCAATCAGCTTGATTGGTCTATGCCACAGGATTCATCCGTTGAAACTTGCTGGACAAACATTAAAGGGGCAGTGCACTCATTGTGTGCGCAATTTGTACCCCTCAAGACTCGGAAAGTTGGACCAATGAAACCCCATTGGTTTGACAAAGAGTATAACCGACTGTCTCGACAACGACGTCGACTATGGAATGCGTTCCTCCTGTCTGGCTCTGCCGATGACTATGAGGCATACAAGCGACAACGAAACTTGTGCAACAGCACAAAGACGCGAAAACGCCGTCAGTTTGAGGAGCAGCTTGCTTGCTCAGCTAAAACTGCCCCGAAGCGCATATTTGCGTACGTGAAGCGACGCCTGAAGTCTGCAGGTAATGTGCCGGTGCTAGTGGGTTCGAACGGACAACCACTAAGTTCAAGCACCGAGCGTGCGTCCGCATTAGCGGCGCACTTCGCTTCTGTATTCGCAACTAACCAAACCTGCGCGCCAAGCTCTGCCGTCGCCGCACCGACTGAGCTAACCGACTTGATCTGCGACGTCGCGGAGGTACATGGGCTAGTCAGCTGCCTAGACAGCACGAAGCCAGCTGGACCGGATGGTCTCCATCCGCTGATCCTCAAGTCCTTGTCAGCTGTGATCTCACCTGCTGTAACCGACCTGTTCAACCGATCCCTGTCCGTAGGCTGCGTGCCTTGTGACTGGAAATGCGCCGTTGTCAAACCGATTCCAAAAGGCGGTGACACACGCAAAATGGAGAATTACCGCCCTATTTGTTTGACCGCAGTATTGTCGAAAGTTCTGGAGAAGATTGTGAAGAAGAGACTGCTCCAGCTATTGGAGACCAACTCTCTCCTGACGCCTGCACAGCATGGTTTCGTGAGAGGCCGCTCGTGCATCACTAACCTGCTGCTAACATGGCATGAATGGTTGCAAGCAGTAAACCAACGTAAGTCAGTCGACGTGGTATACGTCGATTTCAGTAAGGCCTTCGACAGAGTGAATCACGAGATCCTCCTTCAGAAACTGAGGGAGTGCGGAGTCGGAGGCTCGCTGCACCAATGGATCCGTGACTTCTTAGTTGGACGGAAGTGGAGGGTGCAAGTCGACAGCCACCTGACCGACTGGTACCCGTCGACGAGCGGCGTTCCTCAGGGGACGGTGCTTGGCCCCATTCTCTTCCTGATTCACATCAACGACGTGCCCAATCTCCTTCGGTCGCCGTGTGCCTTGTTCGCGGATGACCTGAAGCTATGGAGGGTGATCCATACGTCGGACGACTTTGACATACTTCAGCAGGACCTCGACCGCCTCTCCATGTGGTCCGCCGAAGTAAGTTTGCCTATCAACTCGGCAAAATCGCTACTTCTGTGCCTCGGTAAAGGTGGAGCGGGCCGATCGTACACTCTCGACGGCCAAGTTCTACACCCGACGCATTGCGTCAGAGACCTTGGCGTTATACAACGTTACGACATGAAGTCACTGGACAACACGGACAATATGTATCGCACAGCATTGCGTTCGCTGTGGGCGCTGAAACGTAGCTTCTGCACCTGGTCGAAAGAGATTGCCACTCGTCTCTTCACATCCATTGTACGACCGGTGCTAGAATACGGCTCACCCGCCTACTGTCCGTTGACGAAAGGCGAGATACACAAGCTCGAAAGAGTACAACACATAGCCACACGGCTCATTCCCGGTCTTCAGGGTGTGCCGTATGAAGAAAGATGCAGACAATTGGGTCTGTATACTCTAGCCTACCGCCGCGTGCGAGTGGACCTCATCATGACCCATCGGGTATTGCATCTGGGTGCTTATCCGATGCTGAGGCCACTGCTCCATGTCCGTGCGTCAAGCAGCACACGAGGTCACCAGTACAAACTGGTAGTCCCTGACCTCAAGTGGGTAGCTCATCCCTTGTGTCTTGAGCGGCGAGTGGTGAACATGTGGAACCGTTTGCCCTCGCGGATAGTAGAAGCGAACTCGGTGTCGGAATTCAAACGATTCCTGGACGCGCACTTTGTGGATGCCAGATTCGACGAAGCCTTCACAGGAAACTGACGAAGGAATCGTTCAATGATTATAACCCATGGAGCCCGTTAATCCACCAACTGCAGCTTCCGAAACGATGCCCATCCGTAATAGGCGGCGGAGCTGGTGAAGGACTCCATGTGGTTCATCCAAGAATATATGGTAAGTACATGGAGATTTTTTCTATGCTTGTAAATATTTTACTTTTTTTCACCTGGGCTAGCTCACTACTACAGGTAACACTGTGTCAGTGGGACATGTCCTACATTGAGATATAGCTACATAGATGTTCAACATCTTTCTCGCTATCATGACAGTATCAGTATCAGTATCAGCAGGACAGTCAGTTACAGCGTCCACATTCGCGATATTCAGGGATTTCATAATCAAATCCACTTTAGAACTGAGCGAGGCAAGTGAGGCAAGCTCGGCTAATGCCTTCTCGACAACTGTGAATCTGGACGCTAGTGCTTTGAATTCAGCACAGGTGAAAGCCGGGAGCTTCGCTTTCTGAGCGCAACAATCAGCACATCTAAAAAGAAGGCTTTCACTGGATGATAGCATCTTGTACTGATTCGCTCGGAGGCCGGTACAACTTTTGTGATACCAACGAGAGCAAATATCACACTGCATACCACCAGATGAATCTGTGACTGGCCTTGAACAGGCAGAATTGCTGCAAGGTGCATTTGACTCATCAAACGAAGACGCGAGGGCTTCATCCGTCCCGGTTTTTCGCGAGACGACCATATTGAAGTGGAAAACAACGCAGAATTTAAAAACACGTATACAACCGTAAAACTACCACAATAAAAAGGCAAAACAGGGTGTAAAACGGGATTAAAATGGGAACAACCGCAAAATTACCAGTAAGCGGCAAGAAGACGCTTTGGCCAGTACCACTTTAGTCGACCCAAGATATCTTGGATCAGATGAAATTTGACAAGAGCCAAATTTCGTTTCAAGTGTTTATTCAAACACTGTCTTCCACGTTATTTCAACTAAAAATCTCGATCGGTATGGCACGCCAAAAAACCGAGTTACCGCGTAGCACTCACAGAGTTAACCAACCCAGCAGCATCGATGCAATATCGACAACTCCATAGCAAAACCTTGTGCTCAGCATAGGTCTTGAAGAGCGGTTCAGTAAGTTGCGAGCAACGCTTTTGGCCACACGTCCAGAGTTTGCAGGCAATGCACTGGATACCCTTAGTCACCACTTTCGCACAATGCAAACATTGTGAGTTAGACATAATCACTTGATCTCAGAGAAAATTTGACAGTGGTTAAATTTTGCCACGAGTGTTTTTCTAAACCTAAAAAGCTCGATCAATACGGCACGCCAAAAAATCGAGTTACAGCGTAGCACTCACAGTTCAGTCTTAAGATTTAGCAACCTTTTGATCAACGTTTTTCTAGCTTATTTCAGTTAGTTCTGCCGCACGCTTTTTGGTTGGCCATGCAAAAATGGGTATCGGACATAGCGTTAGACCAAGGCGCCATAATTGGTAACGAGACCGTGCTCCACAACGGTTAGCGATTAGCAGGCGACTGGGAGGTTGCCGTAGAGGACAGCATGCAAGTTCAAGTTCAAGCGGGACTGGAACGATAGGATGATCCCGTGAGTGTTCCTTCTTCGGCAGGTCGTTGAACCAGGAATTGGCGAACTTTGAAATACTGATGGACCTAAAACAAAGACAGCATCACACCCTGTCCAACCAATTAATGCCCACATATCCTGCCCTAACAGTCTCTGCTGGGCCGGTTACGTGAAGTAAGAAAGAGAAAAAAGTAAACTCAGAAGGTAAAAGAGAAAGTGGAAAGAGCTAAGCAAGTGCAATACCAAGATATTTGAGTCATTCAAAAAGAACTGAAAAGTGAAGTTGGGTCAGTTAGGAAAATGGAAAAGTTTGCTGTTGCCACCCAAGCGCATCGAGCTGGCACGTAAAACCCTTAACCGTAGATTCTTTAACCACATGATCTGGAAGCGAATTCCAGCGATCTATAACTCGGCGTGACAGACGAGTTTCCGTCCTAATCCTATCAGATCATGGTTTATGCAGTTTTACTGGGTGATCGCGGAGATTAGGTAACGCAGCGGGACTAAATAGCCCTCACAAGTCCGGGCCAATCTTACCCGTCAAAAGTGAGAATCAGGTCCCCTCTTATCCTTTGGTAGTGCAATGAGTACATTCCCAAACTGAGCAAGCGTTCAGAATACGTCTGTCCCCGTAGACCCTGCAATAACCGAGTGCGCACTCGTAACACCCACACCAAGTCCATTTTGTCTCGGGTAAGACATGGTGGACAAGCCTGGATACAATATTCCAGGTGGGGTCGGACGAATGCCGAGAATAGCTTCACAAACAAATTGGCCGTTAAGATTCCGAAGGAGCGGCGGATAAACCACATCATACGAACACTCGACAAGCAGCCTTCTTCCAGTTGTCGCCAAAATGAAGTGCTGATGCGTGTACGACTCCTAAATCAACCTGCTGAGTGACAACAGGGCGTTCACCACCGCCCACAACTACATACTGGCAAGCCGGCCAGAATCCTAATGTAATATTTTCCTGACAAGTTTTCTCTACAAACGGAATGCCCAGCCTGTTTACACTACGCACACTAGAACCCAACTTGTCGTCATGCATTGACGAATTTATACCTCAAGATTAATTTTATTATTTCTAAATCTTGGACAACTTTCTGCTTCCTGCCGGTTACATACATAGCAACGTGTTTGTTGCGAAACATAAATTGCTTGTAAACGTTGATCATGCCTGGTCAGGTGTGTCTCGGAAATTCGAGAATATACTATTTATTTATTTATTTATTTATCGGGTGGGAGGAGTTGCAGCTCCGATTCGGAGAACAGAGCAGTTGGCCCTGTTTATTGGCATCAACCATAAGGTAGACCATTCCCAGAGCCTATCCAAAGCACGCTGAATTGCCTCAAGACCCTCTGGGATATCCACAATGTTCCAGAGCTTAAGGTCGTCAGCAAACATTAGTGATGATACTCCTAGCTCTCTGGGCAAGTCATTTACATAGATCACGAACAACAATGGCCTCAAATCCGAGCTTTGCGGGACGTCACTAAGGACAGCTTGCCTGAGCGAAGGGTTACGCCCCAACCGTACGCACTGTTCCCTCCCCTCAAGGAAGGCAGACACCCACTGAATGGCGTGACCAGACATCCCGTAAAATCTCAACTTGAGTGAGAGCCGAAAATGCGGAACAGTGTCAAAAACTTTCAAAAAATCCACGAATAGCACGTCTACAGCGTGGCCACTGTCTACCGCTTCGGCCCAGCTTTCACGAGCTACAAGGAAATTAGTCTGACATGAAAATCCTTTGCGGAATCCATGTTGCGCAACACTGAGAAGGTTGAATCTATTCAGGTGGTTCTCCACTGAATCCCTTATCAGCTTTTCAAACAACTCGACTACTACTCTTGTGAAACTGACAGGCCGGTAGTTCGCGGGTAGACGGTTGTAACCGCCCTTAAAACTCGGACAGATGGTTGCCTCCTTTCGTTCAGAAGGTAGGCTGCAATTGTCCAGCGATAGTGAAAACAGGCATGTGAGCGGACCACTCAGCTCAGTGGCCAGTTCATGCAACAGCATCGGATGAATTGAATCAGTACCGGAAGCTTTAGAGGGATCAATGCCTTGCAGTAGCTCGAAGACCTGAGTCTCCGGTATGCTAAATTCAGCTAGGCAAGAATTCACTGGAAAACTTAAAACCAATTCAACCTGTGGTAAAGAGGTCTCCAGAGCAAAGACCCCAGTTTACTGATCACTAAGTATACAAGCCTTGTCATAGTCAGTTTGCGCAAGGGTCTTGTCTGCTCGCAAAAAAGCTGGTATAGATAGTTTTGTCTCGCTGCGTCTTTTAACGTAAGCAAAATACTTCTTAAGCTTAGCTGCCGCCGAGTCCGCCAAACCCTACTCGTACTGGAGACGAGTAGTTCTGAGATGTTGCTTATATTTATTTCTAATCTCTCGATAACTATCATAGGTGCTGGCTGATGGAGCTGCTTGGTAGGTTCGCCAGCATCTAGACCATATATTGTGTAGGTACTTGCAAGTGGTATCTATCCATGGAGGCTGTGACCTTGACCCTCTTTTCCTCATGAGTAGAATATAGAGAGTGGAAACCTCCGAAAGGTATGCCTTAAATTTATCCCAGACTAACTGGACAGAGTCAGCCATCGAGATCTCACAGTTCAGAACTGAAGCCTTAGTTCGCATTGCACTAAAGTCCGCCCGCCAAATATTCGGAAGTAATTCAACAGCGGTCTCTTGGTGGATTGAAAGAGCACATTGAAAAGATATACATGCGTGTTCGCTGCACCCTAGAGGTGCACCGTGCGGAACGTCAGTCACGAAGTCGAGGGACATAGCGAAGAGCAAATATAAAGTAGATGGTATTTGGTTGTCCGTATACCTAGTGGGAAAAGCCACGAACTGGTGCAATGGCACTTGGAGAGTCAGTTTAAGCAAGCCTGCACCGAACGTTCCTAATGCTGAATTGCAAGAAAGATCGGCCCAACAGACTTTCGTGGGTTGAAAGCCCCTAGAACTAAAAATTTATTCGCAGCTTGAGTGCGGATAAAGTCAAGTATCCCCTGGAAGAACTTCCAGGACTTCTGTATATCATTATAACTGTAAATTGGGTAAAAGAAGAGCACGAAACAGCCGATAGGGCTTCAACAGTCTGATCCGACGCCTAGATTGTGCAGGTCCTCAACACCTCTAAGTTACAGCTCACATACAGTACAACGCCTCCGCCTTGGCGACCAACGGAGCGATCAGTTCTAAGCAGCGTGTAGCCAGGTAAACATGTCTCACAGTCCGTGATATCCGGAGATAATCACGTTTCAGTGAAAGCAAGTATGTCGGGACGAGATTTGTCTACAAGTAAAGCCAACTAGTGCATCTTGTTCCTTAGGCTACGCACATCGCTAAGTACTACCTCAAGGAAGTCGGCACGACCATCCCTGGGTCGTGCGCCATAAGGATGGGTTCTGATAGGGCGGAAAGTAACTTCCGGCTGACCGCCTGGAAACCCACCAGACGGAGGTCTTGCTCACCAGCCGCCCGTCTAGTTTTGAGGTCTTTGCTAGTCTCCTTTAGCTGCAATCTATCTGCCAGTGGTAGGTCCGGCTGAACGCTGACACCACTACCCCTAAGTTTGAATGCCAACCGCAATAATTTTTTGCGTTCCTCCGGGATAGAAAGGACCACCCGAAGTAGTCGGGGCCTTGGATTTGGCGTAGCGATAGGGACGTTCCCCAATCTGGTCAGCTTTCTGACAGTGACACCAAGGAAGCCAGGTGGAAGCAGCTGGCTGACACACAGTTTCAGCCACTTGATGTCATGCACGATGCGTTCCCTTGGGAGAGCGGCCGCAGATTCAGTAACGTTACGGAGTGTAACGCTACCATCCGTGAAAGAGTCGGCACGACGTGGAGTGTTCACCCCACGTGCTTTGGAGTCGACACCTTTACCAGCTGTTTTCACCACTGGCGTTGGGACTGTCCCTGTCTTCACAAACGACGCCGAAGCAGCGGTAGCGTAGGTTTTCCGCTCTATTGCTGGCGTCTTACTAGTTCTTGGGTCTTCATGCCCCTGCAAAGTTGTACGAGGGGAGATCTGGTCCGCTTCTTATTTTTGTTCACTGGAGAAGGAGCCGTTACCTTGTATCGCATTGATCAGTTACCAGCAATTCGTCAGAACGGGTTGGCTCACTGTCGGCCGAGACGGTCAGCATATTCGGAAGGTTCTGTGTAAAATCGTCAGACGACTTTACGACTGTCAAAGACGGAATCTTTTTCGATGCGGCGGCAACTAATTCTATGGGGTTAGCAGAGAGCTTTTGGTATTTCCGCAAGCTATTTTTCTTCACTTTGTTCGGCTTATGAGGATAGTCAGCAATGTTACCTGGATTGGCCGGTAGGATGTGCGACTTCATGACCGAGTGACAGACTTCAGTGGATTGCTCGTCAGCAACGTTGCCGTCTAT